ATATTATGTTACTAAAAACTGGGCAGAAAAGCCAGCAAAGAAGACAAAACAGAGAACCAGATGTTATCACAATAACTAAAAGAGAAAGTTCACCAGTCTCTTTACAGAGTTGCTGGCAGAAGCTGAGTGTTTTAAAATGAGCTCATACAAAAACGGGCAGCAAATCCAGAGACTATAATGAGGAAATCAGAGCCACAAACTCTAGGCCAACCCAGAGCAGTAGAGGTTCCCCTCACACAGGCATGGCAGGTTACAACTTGTGCTTCAAGCATTCACTTCAGTGTAACTTCTGGAAACATCACCCTTGTTTGTAAGGCACCTCTACAGGGATATAACACTATCCAGTCTAAAGGTTCAGCCAAAATACCTGTTTGGATATGTGACTTAAGTTACCAAAGTCCTATTTCCAGGCTAAACAGTCAATGGTTAAAATATGAGACAAAAATACTGAGAAGCACTGACCACCAAGCATACCCTTCCATTTCTGGAAAGACCACCAGTCCCCTGCTTTTCTTTGAAGCCTCACTTGCTGTGCAAAAAGCTACAAAACATGCTGCATGCTATGCATGGCTGAAACAAGAGCATGAAGCAGGAGGTCGGCTGGACATTGTTACCACATGAGAATGCAAACAACTCATCTTAAATGGACAAAGCCCTGACACTCCCTCAGAACAAACACTGGGGGCTGAATGAGCAGCACAGCATTATATTACCTGTATGCCATAGGATGACAACAGACCACTCACCAGCACTGACTGCTTCCCATACTCGATCCACCGAAGAGTGGCAAAGTTGGTAGATTCAGCACAGTTAAAGCCGTGATTAAAGCCAGCATGATAGCTATAAGGAAAGGTTATCATGAACTCTCCAGCCTCCTGTGTCACCTAGAAGACAATTGAGACACCCCACTGTTATTCACAACTTAAGATCTACTTGGTGAGTATGATCAAAAGGATCTCCCACACGCCTTGATAGTGCACCCGAAAACCTCACTCACAGACGGTGGCTGAAGTTACTTGCTGCTTGATACAGACTATAGATACTAAACTTGATACTTGCTTCCAGTATTTTCCTACTCTTCTTACACATGTGTTTACCGGAAAGCCACACCCAACAGTTGTTTCAATAAAACACAATACAACTGGTCAAAATAGCACAGATAAAATACTCTGACCAGCTAGCTAGGTCAGAAAGGTACTTATCTGTATCAGCCATGGGTGTGGCTGAACAGTATCTAAGGTCAAGTAAAATTTCTATCCACACAGAACTTGGAAATTTACTGCTGTTTTCTTTTGCTGTTCATATCCAAATACAGCTCTCAGTCAGCCCTCCACTACTGCTCTTCAACATTTCCCCACTGTCTAAAGGTTCATTACTACAAAATTTTCAGCTGCCCACACAGATGTGACCGTACTTCTGAATAAGGACTCAAAGACCAGATCTTCAATGTCTCTGTGTGGGGAGGGGGAATGGCAGGTTATCACCTGAGAAAGCAAGGAAGCCTGTAAGATTATTAAGGTAATTAAAAAATTAACAGGGAACAAGCCTTATTTTCTGCTGAGAAAGCAGACTGCAACGAACAAAATTAGCAAGGGGCAAGGCTGAACAAAACAATCTCACTTCACTGAATATACAGCTAAGCATGAAGTTAATCTAACACAGGATGCTGTTTGTAGTTTAAGCTAAAAAAAATGTAGAACAAAAATCACAGAAGACACAGCTTTTGTTTTTAGTAGTCCTGACAGATTTTTCTGCCCCAAACTCTTTCAGGCCCCAACTGCCAGATAAATGGCTGTATAGTGTTTGCCTTATACCCTCCCTGTTTGTATTTTCCTCTCTAAGCATCTGCTACTGGCTGCTGTTAGAAATGAGACAGGACTGCAGGAGCCTCTTGACTGAGCTGGTATAACTGCGATTACTTTTCTACACCTTATCAAACGGAATGCCGTATTTCTTCAGGATTGATGGAGAGATGAGGGTCATCTTGTGACGGAGAAATGCTTCACAGCTTTGGGCACTTCCTGGAAAAAAACCTGTTTAAAATAAAGGCAAGGAGAGATGTTACCATTGTGCTGTGAACCAAACTTACATTTTGGCAGTTTTTAGGAAGAGTTACTGTCTGAACAGTGTTCTTCCCTAGACTGCAAGTATGGACCACCTTATGTGAAGTGAGCTATTGGACTCTGAAGAAAAATAACTCTTCAAGATTCATCTTTTAACAGCTGCCAGTTTGAAAGAGCATAAGAAAGACCTCACACAGAAGGATCTTCCCTTCCAGTTTTAATAATCAATAGTTAAGGATTTTCTCATTAAAGGTCAGACAGACCACAAGTTCGTTATTTGTAATGTGACATTTCTCTCGTGTGCATCCTATAAACAAACACTCAGAAGTAATGTAATCTACATTCTAAAAGGCAAATTATCAGCTCAGCCCTGCCAGCCTGTGCTCTCATGGATGTTACAGGTATGTTGTGCCCTGAAAGAGCTGAAACCTGTTGTGGCTGTCCATCCCACCTTCCAAAAAAAAAGCAGGATATGAATTGCCTGATTACCTTTTGCAAGTCTCTCCAGTCGCTTCCCATGCTCTGGAGGGATAGAGTACCTGCAGTTGTAAGAATGAGACTGTTAAGTTCAAGTGACATGACAAAATATCAAAGTTTGACTGGGAGTCGTAACAGACATCAAGGATACCTTGATGCCATTCACAGAATGGCTTAAAAAACCCAAAATTGTCCTCTATCTCTACACTGCCTTTTTCGAAGCTTGATGATACAAAGCTAAAAATCTTCAGTAAGGACTATTACCTCTCTATCCCAAGAAAGACCCAAAACCTGATCATCTCTTCCACTGAATTTTGCTTAGGCCATCAAGGAAGTAAAAAGTCTGATGTACATAATAAGTAGATCTGTGCAGCACAACATGAACTGCAAGAAGAAAGAGAAAAGCACTTCCTGAACTGTCTCAGTTCACAGCTGCATACTCAGAACAAGGAGGAACACAGAGCAAGAGAGAAAATGGAACCATCTCTTTCAGCTGCTCAGGCCAAGATGGGACTAGGTCAGACACAATACCACATCCTCAACACGTGCACAACTTGTAGAGAGCTCTTTAGGGCTGTGTATCTCTCTGTACACACCTTTCTGTGGGCACCACAAAACTCCTAATTGGTTTGACTCAGTAAATAAAGCCACCTACTTTGTTTGCCTTTGCTCTGGGATACAGTGCTATAGTCCTGACTGAGTTCCTTGCTAAATAAATCTTAGGTATCAGCAAAGCCAACTTCTTCCAAGTACTACTGTCAAAAAAGCAATGGCCAAACAGTGCAACAGACTAAACCATTTCATGTTCCCCTGCTACTGCCATTGCGTGGGGCTGTTCACTGGTCATGTGGTGCTGGCTATTATTTTTTACTTCAAAGTTGTACTAAAAGGCAGCCAAAAATATAGTTTCCAACAAAAGTGCCATGGAAACAATTGTTGAAGTTGCTTGAGAAATTAATTTGTGAATAGAAGGGCATGATTCACTCAAACTCATGCTACAGAAAAATTTGGGAGCCTCCCCTAAAAAGAGCCATGAAAGCTCAGACACTGGAAGAACCACTCAGCAAGATCCACTATCCTGCTTTTAGATCTATGACACCACACTTCAAAGTCTGTTAAAAACTGCCTGTTCCCCGAGTACCTGTGTGACCATACCTCTGTATGGCTGTTTTAGAGCCTCAGGAAATGGTAAGCAAGTGTTCCAAGTTTTGGCCCTACCACAGCAGAGAGCATCCACCCCATATTGTAATTCTGAATAACTCTGTATCAGAACAGTGAACAGATCTCCTAGAAAGTAACCACCCAAATTCTACCAAGGACACACCCTGCTTTGCAGCTCCTCACAGGCTTCTGTGTTCTTCACATCAGATGCAACTGCAGTGCAAGACTGGAGAAATGGCAATTACTTCACCCAACTTTTGTCACTTCATGACTTTGACTCCAGTATTTTATGGTATTGCTTTTCTACATCTAGAAGCTTCCCTAGAATCTCTTACCATGACTTGGGCTCCCCAAAATGCAAGTAATTAATACTGTAGAGATCCATGTCCTCAGTGTGCCAAGCAAAGGAAGTTTTCCACATGCCAAAATACAGGTACGGAGTATTCACTCCTTCGATGGTTATGCCGCTTTCATTCTCCACAATATCCAGGATCGTGTTCAATCTGCCAATATTCCATGCATCCACATGCTGCAAAACACAAGCTTCATGTCAAACAAGGATTGCAAAGAACAGAACCGCACAGCTGAGATGAGAGCTGAAAAAGCTAAGACACTTGTGAAACAGCACATCAAGGCTGGCACAGCTCAAACTGTGAGCAAGTTCACCTAAACCAAAAGCTTTGCATGGTGTTAGCTCACATACCGATTGCTTACAGCACTTACAGAGGGAAAAGAAAGTTACCAGCCAACACAATGATCAGGAAGGAGAAATAATCATGAAGCTACAAACTGGAGAGAGCAGAGAACAATAGTGTGAGCCTGAGCTGATGTCTGAACTCTCTTGAACAAAACCACTCTTCATTCCAAACATCTTTAAACAGAGTAAATCATGGCAATTTAGGGAGATAAGCAAACAGAATACAAACTCTTTTTAAAATTTATCATCTTACCACATAATGGCTACAGAGCTGTCCCACACTGCGCTAGCAGATACCAAAGCACTGTGTATCTGTGGGAGAATTTCTGATTGCTAACGGACATGTGAGCAATCCAGCCGTGCTAGCAGGGCCTGAGCAAGCTGCAAGCTAAGCTGTTCAAGGACACTGCTGCAGCTGGAATGTGAGAAAGGAGGTAGCAAGATAAGCAGCTCCCGGCTGTGGGATGCAAGAGCTGAAGATGGTTAGAGGCGGAGAACAATGATTGGGGCATTTTATGACTGATATGTTAATAACCAATTATGTTGTGTGTAAGGTGGGCTAGTAATAGTAGTTAACCAATGATAAGTGGGCACTTATAATAGGCGTGTATAAAAGAATCACTTTTGTAAATAATAAAGGTCAGTCACGAGATAATAATGGCGTCGCCTCTTTGCACGCGAACTCCCGCATGTATCCACTGAACAACACCTTGAACTCTCAGACACCTTTCAGGACAAAGCAACACTTGGGTAACAGTGGTTTTTGCTTTCCTGAACTAAACTCCACTACACTGAAGCACTAGCCAAGGTCCCTTAAAACACCACCTCTGTTAGCCTTCCTCAACTACCTGGGTTAAATAGAGAGTATGCTATAAACGCATGGTTCATTGTGTTGCTGCCTACTCCAGAAGCTGGAACTCTGCTAAGACTATCATTAACTCTTTCTGAAAGTTAAAGAGTCAAATGCTACACTAGTATTTATGGAATGCAATATACCAGAGTAACTGTTCCCTGAAAACCAAAGCAGTTCCCTTACCTTGTCGTACAGGGTGCCGTTAACGTCAGCCCCGTAGATGGGGGCATTGAACGTCAGGTTCTTCCAGTATTTTCGTTCCAGGTCTTCAAAGTCTGTGTACCGCGGTGTGCAGTACCTGACAAAACAACAGAGGAGCTAAACACTTTGCAGTTTGATACCTGACGAGTCTGACCCAACGTTTTCCACAAATGAAAGAATGAAAAGCTACGATAAAAGTACCTTACGCATGTTATCAGCCAAACCCTGCCAGAACAGCACTGAGAACAGCCACAGCTCTGTTTCTGTGAGACTTGGGAACAAAGGATCAGGAAGGAAATTATTTTGTCTGATTGTCAATTTACTTTCAGTTTTGCTTTGGGCACTTCTCTGGGGTCAGAACAATTTCACTTTCTGGCTGTGACTACTTTGGAGCAACAATGTCTTCAAAACCAGAAACAATACAAAGAACAACTTGAAACCAACAAAAAAGAAACAAACCCAAAGTTTTACTATGCACTATGCTGTGAAAATAACAAACTTTCACCGACTCACCTGCTAGTAAACTGGTCAGCTATGCTCAGCTTACCAGCAAAACACCTGCTCTTGATGTCCACTCCCTGCTAACTATATCCTGGCCTCTGTGCAGCACTGGAGGTTCAAATTTACACTCCTTAACACCTATTTAATGTGTGGGCATATGCATAGATTCCAGACAATTACATACATAACAGAAACCAGTAATTTTCATTAAACTACTCTACTAGAGATGCAGAATTCTAAAATATCTAGTGTGTGCTGCTCTTGAAAGGTAAAACAAGCTTCGACGGACTGACGGCAGCTGGCAGCTCCACTGTTATTTCTAAGTAGTAATTGCAAAGGCTGTTTTGCTTAAACTCCTTTTCAAGTGATCTTTTCTATGTCTCCTTTTTCATGTCAGAACATTCCTTTCTCCACTACTCAGTTAAGTATTTCAATGGTCTAGTGGGGACAGACAGGAGTGCACAGCACAGACAAAAAGTTCTGCTGGCATTCCATATCCCCCTGCTACACAAGTGACACAGGTCCCCACCCACGCAGCCTGTTTTACAAGCACACCTCATCTGCTCATGGCTTGACGTTCACACTGACTGGCACCAGGCTGTGCTAGGACCCGGCCCCTGTGGGAAGCCGTGGGAGCCCCATCCCTGGAAGTGTTCAAGGCCAGGCTGGATGGGGCCGTGGGAAGCCCGGTCCAGCAGAAGGTGTCCCTGCTCGTGACAGAAGGGTTGGAACCAGGTATCTTTAAGATCCCTCCCAGCCCAAAGCATCCCGATGCTCTCTGCCCGGGACCGGCCGTACTTGTCGCTGTTGGCGATCCTGCGGAACTCGCGGACCGTCATCGCCTTCTTCTGGATGTTGTACTGCGTGAAGAGCCCGGACTGCCCCGTCA